GTCCCAAATGTTACGAATTTCTAATAATTGGATAAGTAGTTTAATGGCTTTATTAAGTCTAGGGATAATAAGTCAACAAATTGAAGATCAATATTACACGCATGATTCTTTAGATAACAACAGCGGGCCTCCTTCATTCCACAATCTCTCTGCAACTCACGTACTGGCAACAACAACAAAAAATATCTCCAATGCCCAAATACGCCACAAATACAAAGCACATAGCTACAGCTACACAACTTATCTCCACACCAAAACACGCACCCCATTGAACAAACCATAAACATTAGATACAGAGATTATCGTTCGGCTTTAAACTGATATATTGCCATCTGCAGATCCACAGCATCACGTGTGCTATCCATCCCTGTGGCCTGCCTCAACACTTCCTTCCACTCAGACCTAACCAATGCCTTTCTTTTCCATGGTTGGACTTTCAGATGTTGTAGATCTTTTCCCACGCATCCATCCATCTAAGAATGTGCTAACTGCTGTGATGAAGGATCCTCTCCTCGTCATCTTGAATAGCCGATGTTTTAACTCTACTAAGAACGATAGTTTACAATGCATGTCGTTTTTTTTTTTTTTTTGCCGCGCCCACACATTGCCAGACTGTAATGTGTCCGTTCCGGGCACACTGCAACCCGACACCGGTTCAACATTCCCAGACTGTAATGTGTCCGTTCCGGGAACACAGCAACCCGACACCCGTTCAACATTCCCAAACTGTAATGTGTCCGTTCCGGGCACACAGCAACCCAATCAGAGTATTTTTTTAAATCGTTTTTCTTTTTGAAAACTCCTAAAGTTCAAGGTTCAGCATAGCTTCCTAAACCACAGCAAAGTTTAATAGACTATTATAAGTCGTTTAGATGATGGAACAATCGAACAAATCTATATAAAACAATCGAACAGATCAATATAAAACAATCTAACAATGAGATACAAAACAATTGATCAAATCGATATAAAACAATCGAACAGATCAATATAAAACAAGCTGACTATGAGATACAAAACAATTGATCAAAGCGATATAAAACAATCGAACAGAGCAATATAAAACAATCGAACAGATCGAAAATCAAACCAAGTGAAATAAATATAGATAGTGATATTGAAGCCCAAAGTTTTTTTTTTTTAAAAGCTACATCTGAGACAGACTTTAAAAAATGGATAGATTGCCCAAAGAAGTTCTGCACCAGCTTCAGGTTTACAGAGAGTTGACATCAAAAGTAGGTCAGGCAGGACTGGGCTTTAACGAAGTCCAAACAGAGAATCCGTTCTGTTGTACTTGCTTTACTTTATTTGTCATTGGTCTTACTTTAAAATGTTACGATAGCATCCCAATCTCCAATGGCTTTAGCGGGCATCAGATTAGAAATGAAAGACAATGAAGAAAGGGGGAGATAACGATACAGTGGTAAAATTAAAGGGACACAAACTTCAAAGAAATTCACCCAAAATTGTTCACACGAAATTTTTATTTTTATTTATTTTTATTGGATTTTGGTGAAGTTCTTATTATTTATTTTCAAACGATATTTTGAATCGAGGGTGCCAAAGAATCGTGAACAGACGTAATGTTTTTATGAGCAGATAAGTCTGGTAGGAACAATCAAACTTCTCATGGTTCGGCATGAACAGTCTCAAAGTGCTTGATACCGTCATTAACTTTGCGGAACACCAATGTAAGGAAACGGGGAAAGAGTTGTTTGAATTGTACACACACACACACACACACACACAAATAATAGGGTCGAATCACATTGCTGATGTGTGATGAAAATAATTTCTCACCTTTCATCAGAACTAACATTATTTCAAAATAGGCACGTAACGAAAACGTTTGGGGGGGGGGGGGGGGGGGGGGTGGGGTGGATGTTGTAATCAAACATTCAGCTACCTGCCTAATCCCCACCCACTCCCCCCCCCCAAACTCTTTTTTTTTCCCTCTAGTGATGAAACCATAGTAAGTCATTCATTAACTCACTAAACCGACCACAATTTGTGAGAGCTCGACACATAGAAAGGGGAGTTAATCTGTCCCCGCTTGTCTCCCTTTTCTCCAACTAAACTCTCACGCTCGACTAATGGAGGTCACGACCTTTGATCTTTGGCAGTCACGATGATAACTTAACCCATGACAACCGCCACGTCTCTCCATCCTTCCACCACCCCCTACCACTTTTATTTCCGTATCCTGGCTCTCGTTCCCTTTGCTCGAGTTCACTGGCTATCACTTAGGAATTATTTTACTATTTTACTATGGTCACCTTAACGTTGAGCATGGACTTACGATTCGATACATATTTGTCATTTTATATGCACATAGTTATCACAAGTGTACAATTAATTTTGGCTTTGGGGAGCGAGCCGCCATACAAAAATCGTGACTCGTGCGTCGCTTCAGAGGGTAACTGGATCCTAGAAACGTCCTGCGATAGTTATCTGAGCGCTCTAGAACTTGACAACAACTTGCGGTGCGTCCATACTCGGCTAGAGACAAATGTTTTTCCCACAATACAACTGCGGCGAATTTGAGATACATTACTGTTTAGGGTGGTTCTGTGGTTTTTGACTGGTTAGAATGGATCTATGGTTTTTTTTACCTTCTAGAGTGGATCTTTGTTTTTTTTTGACGGTCTAGAATGGATCTTTGGTCCTTTGACTGTCTAGAGTGGATCTTTGGGTTTTTAACTGTCTAGAGTGGATCTTTGGTCCTTTGAATGTCTAGAGTAGATCTTTGGTCCTATGACTGTCTAGAGTGGATCTTGTTTTTTTTAACTGTGTAGAGTGGATCTTGGTCATTTGACTGTCTAGAGAGTATCTTTGGTTTTTTGACTGTCTAGAGTGGATCTTTAGTTTTTTTGACTGTCTAGGGTGGATCTTTAGTTTTTTTTGACTGTCTAGAGTGGATCTTTAGTTTTTTAACTGTCTAGAGTGGATCTTTAGTTTTTTTGACTGTCTAGAGTGGATCTTTAGTTTTTAACTGTCTAGAGTGGATCTTTAGTTTTTTTGACTGTCTAGGGTGGATCTTTAGTTTTTTTGACTGTCTAGAGTGGATCTTTGGTCCTTTGACTGGCTGGAGTGCATCTAAGGTTTTTGACGGGCTATAGTGGATCTGTGGTTTTATTGACCGGCTAGAGTGGATCTATGGTTTTTAACTGACTAGAGTGGATCTTTAGTTTTTGACTAGTTAGAGTGGTTCTGTGGTTTCTTGACTGGCTAGAGTGGATCATTGGTTTTTTTGCCTGGCTATAGTGGATCTGTGGTTTTATTGACCGACTAGAGTGGATAAGTGGTCTTTTCATTGGCTGGATTGGATCTTTGATTTTTGACTGACTAGGGTGGATTTATGGTTTTTGACTGGTGAATGGTTCCGTGGTTTTGGCTGGTTAGGGTAGAGCGATGATTTATTTTATTTTTTAATAAGCCACTTCTTCGTAAATTTTTTTACGGGATTATTCTTTGCAAAAAATCATTTTCACCGTAGGAGTTGTTCTAAAATACTTTTGTTTAAAACTGTTAATATCTATTTTTTTTCGATCCGCTTTGGTCCATTGTAATCGATTTCCGATATGAATGTTTTGTTTATCAATCTATTTTGTTGGGTCGTTTAAAGTTTAAACAAATAGTGAACTATTTTCTCTCGGAGGATAGCGAAGAAGAGAGCCAAACAGAGGAGCACTTGAAAGGGTGCTTTACTCTTGGCTAAAGCCACACAGGAGCACTTGAATGAGGTTTTTTTTTACTCTTGGATAAAGCCACATAGAGGAGAACTTGAATGTGTGTTTTACTCCTGGCTAAGGGCACATAAAGGAGCACTTGAAAAGGTGTTTTGTCTTGGATAAAGCCACATTGAGGAGTACTTGAATGAGTGTTTTTACTCCTGGCTAAAGCTACATAAAGGAGCACACGAAAAGGTGTTTTACTCTTGGCTAAAGCGCAAATAGAGGAGCACTTGCATGGTTGTTGTGCTCTTGGCACAAAACCAAATGATGTAACGTGACAATTCATCCTGACTCCGCAGACGTGCCTAGATGAAACCCCGGTTAATTAGGTCGCTGACCTATTGTGTTGTCCCTGGATGAAAACGCCCGGCTACTCGCAAACTCTGGATAGTTTGTCGGTTGTGTGTAATTGAGTTCAGCAGTTGCCAAAGCAATCTCATCGGGTGTAGTCTCGATGTCCAGTTCGAGTTTACGTTTCTCACCAACCAATCTCGATACTAATATGACAACGTCAACAAAAGTGGTGCGTGTGAAAATGTCAAGATGTGGTGGGTTTTTTTAAACATCAGATGCCGTGTTCGTTGTCCTCAGAGAAACGGAAATACTTTTTGTAAACAAAAGTTTAACTGGAAACATACACCAGTTGGATACACCAGTTGGATACATTAGTTGGCTGCACCAGTTGGATACACCAGTTGGATACACCAGTTGGATACACCAGTTGGATACACCAGTTGGATACACCAGTTGGATACACCAGTTGGATACACCAGTTGGATGCACCAGTTGGATACACCAGTTGGATACACCAGTTGGATACATTAGTTGGATGCACCAGTTGGATACACCAGTTGAGTACATTAGTTGGATACACCAGTTGGATACACCAGTTGGATACACCAGTTGGATACATTAGTTGGATACACCAGTTGGATACACCAGTTGGATACATTAGTTGGCTGCACCAGTTGGATACACCAGTTGGATACATTAGTTGGATACACCAGTTGGATACACCAGTTGGATACATTAGTTGGCTGCACCAGTTGGATACACCAGTTGGATGCACCAGTTGGATACATCAGTTGGATACATTAGTTGGATACACCAGTTGGATACACCAGTTGGATACACCAGTTGGATACATCAGTTAGATACATCAGTTGGATGCACCAGTTGGATACATTAGTTGGCTGCACCAGTTGGATACACCAGTTGGATACACCAGTTGGATACATTAGTTGGATGCACCAGTTGGATACACCAGTTGGATACACCAGTTGGATACATTAGTTGGATGCACCAGTTGGATACACCAGTTGGATACATTAGTTGGATACACCAGTTGGATACACCAGTTGGATACACCAGTTGGATACATCAGTTGGATACATCAGTTGGATGCACCAGTTGGATACATTAGTTGGATGCACCAGTTGGATACATTAGTTGGATGCACCAGTTGGAAACACCAGTTGGATACACCATTGGATACACTAGTTAGAAACACCAGTTGGAAACACCATTTGGACTCACCAGTTGGAAACACCAGTTGGATTCACCATTTGGAATCACCAGTTGGATACACCAGTTGGAAACACCAGTTGGAAACACCAGTTGGAAACACCAGTTTAATAAATTAATGAATGTGCCGGAAATTCAAACAATTTCTCTGTGAAGCAATTATGTGTGCTTACCATCCCATTGTATAACATTGAGTGGATGCGTCCTGTCTATATCGTGATTGTAGGTTCGGAAAAAATATTAATACTCCAACTACGGCTCATAACTCACTGAAAAATAACCACTTTTATTGTGCATGAATTTGAAATCAACAAAAGACTAATTTGTTTCTTTGTAACTGCCAAAGGTCAGAGCTGTTTCATCGCCGTGACTCTGAAATCCTTTTTTAAAAAAAATTAAATCTCTTGTTAATCAGGAGGGGAAATTTGATATTTTAAAAATATAGTGAATTCCATAGTTGAGCTCAGCTAGAAAGTCAAAATGGCCGAACACTGTCTCGTTTACCTTCTGCTGCACGTCATTTGCATTCTGGTCAGTCCGATTCCCGGATGTCATTCCCGCAGTTGTGATAAAATAAACGCGGCTTTTACTGTCGGGGACGACAACGCCACCTACATTCTGAGCGGGACACAGTTCATCAAGTACAGCTTTGTCCACGACAGCGAGGAAACGGTCGGGGGACTCTCAAAACTTGGGCTGTCCCCGGGACTGGTGAAACCGGATGCCGCGTTCACGATGAACGGGGCTGTTCATATTTTGAAACGTTGTGAGATCTTCAGGTAAACCGCGTGGTGGCCGATCTATTAACCCTACGGTTTATAGGGCCGATAATTGTATAACTAATAGCTACTCTCTCTCTCTCATGCCCAGTTCACACGATCAAATTTTCGTCTAATTTTCAATCATACATTTGATTCTATTTTTGTATGGAGCCTTCTCACAACTTACAAATTACCATTTGATCAAATTCTCATTTCTGTCCAAAGAATTCACGCACAAAATAGTGCGTTCATACAAAAATTATTGGACGCAAATATGATCGTGTGAACCGAGCATTATTCTCTGCGGACACACTAGAGACAACTCAATGGTTCAAAGCACTGAGCATTTGTATTTTATTTTCGTTTTAAGAAATTATGATGAAGTCATTGTATGGGGGTTGTATTTCCAGATATCGAATGTCGGGGGAGGCCACCTTTGTGAAAGAAGGGGAAACAACCACGCACTCTCTCGGTCTCCCGTGTGACGTTGATGCGGCAATCAGTTGGGCGGGGCATGTCTTGGCTTTTAAAGGTATTCATCGTGTACTTCCGGTCATCGTTCACTTCCGGTCATCGTTTACTTCCGGTCATCGTTTACTTCCGGTCCAGTACACCTGGCCGTCGGGAGGTTAAAGACGACTTTAAGTGGCAGCATAAAATTCTCCATGTCAAAGAAATGACGCCGTTAAACATATTATTTACGTTTTCAGGCTGCAATATTTGGAAATACGACGTCAGCACACACCAGTTTGAACCGGAAGGTCCCGTGGAGAAGCGCGGCTTGCCGTGCAACCTAGACGCCGCGGTGCAGTGGAAATCGTCCGGCGCCATCTTCGTCAGAGGGGCGCAATTTTGGAAGTTCGACACCGTGATGCGGGGGCCCTTTCACACCGACGAGCTAAATATCTGCTCGTGGTACCTGTGCGGCGAGGCTGACTGGATGAGAGAGAAGCGCGTGGGGAATATGTCGTGCAACGGAGACGAGAGGTTAGACTCTATGTCAATACAATATCTTTTTTTATTTTAAAAATATGTAAGAGTCTATATCTGATTTAAGGCTAGATTGTTGTTTTGGGGATTTCGTGGCTTAAACCTGGAATGGAGAACATATGAACACGGAATAGGGGGAAAACTGGAAAGACGACAAACAAAATTGCAAAAAAAAAAGAAAAAAAATGGAGAATGTATCTGATGCTGTGTGAAGTCGGAGGGAAAATTCTGCAGAGCTTGGTCGCAGTACTCCACTTTGTGAATTTTAATTTTTAAATCGGGAATAAAGCGAACAAATAACCTACATTTATCATATAGATATTATGTAAATATCGTACACAAATCATACAGATATCATGTACCATATAAATATTATAAAGATGTCATACACATAACATACACATATTTTATACAACTATCACACACACATCATATGAATTTTGTACAAATATAACATAAATATCATACAATAATGAGAGTTTCAACAGCTTGAAATGTAATGAAGAAGACATCTCTTGGTGAAAGTCTGATTGGCTAAGACAAAATGTTGACAAAATTACCGTTCGAAATTGCTCTGACCTCCATGTCTTTTTCGAGAATTCATACCTTTATTTGTCAGTAGTAATAAATGTGTTTTTTCGACACAAAATCAAAGAAAATCAAATAGTGTTTCCCCTTTTATTTCTTTATCGGTTGGACATACTGAGTGAGACCTCGTTTTAGACAATCCTTCAGAGATTATCGCCCATATAGAAGAGTCGCATTCACAACAATTTAGAGCGTTTTTAACATTCAAAACATTTTTTTTTTTTTTTTTAATCTTGATTTTCATGGATTTAATTGTTCTTTTTTTATTCAACCCCAAAATTTTTTAATATATTTTTTTTTAAATTAACATTCACAACAATTTAGAGCGTTTTTAACATTCAAAACATTTTTTTTTTTTTTTTAAATCTAGATTTTCATGGATTTAATTGTACTTTAATAATCCAACCCAAAAATTGTTTAATATATTTTTTTTTAAATTAACAATCTGGCGTCAATATTTCATTATGCAAAAATAAGTAAATCAAGTCTAGCACAAGGGAATACAGTAGCAAATGTATCAGTGCAATGCATTCCTATACCAATCTATATGGGGCGCTATGCCGGGATGTCGTTTGTGCTTTATTTCCTCAGCCAAAAAGGACCGTTCTTAATTTTGTTAAAAAATATGTTTTTGCTGCATACACTTATTTTCTTGTCAGCAGAGTAAATAAAAGGAAATTTTGTTGAATTCCAAGCCGCTATTTTATCCACTAGACTGTGCCCGCTGAGGCTGGACCAGGTAACGATGGCTGGACTACACAATGCAGGCTCTGGTTACGATGAGGTCGGGTTTGGTTTCCTCAATTGTTGGCTACAGAACCACGCCTTGTCCATCAACAAGCAAATGAAACTTGGTTTGTATTTGATAATGTAAAAAAAAAAAGGGGGGGGGGTTGAATGGCCGAGTAGTTAGCGCCTCGCTGCTTGTTTTCCCCAGGAGAATGACCAGGTAACGATGGCTGGACTACACAATGCGGGGTCTGGTTACGATGAGGTCGGGTTTGGTTTCCTCAATTGTTGGCTACAGAACCACGCCTTGTCCATAAAAAAGCAAATGAAACTTGGTTTGTATTTGATAATGTAAAAAAAAAAAAGGGGGGGGGGTTGAATGGCCGAGTAGTTAGCGCCTCGCTGCTTGTTTTCCCCAGGAGCATGCCAGATTTATTGCGATTCTATGCAATTTTTTTTGTTTAAATGTGGAGGTTTGTTTGTTTGTTGACACTGATCTAAACTCAAGGGTCGGGCTTGGTGATGCGCTGCGCAGGAGAAGCCAATTCCTCAGAGGGGGTGGAGAAGAAATATAATCGATTTTACTTTAATATACTGATCTCAATTTGAACTTGTGCCAGGCCCTTGACGTCACGACATTGGTAAATTAATAGAAAGTTGAGTGTGAGCGCGGGACGTTGGTACAACACCAGACAGTTTAATACATGATGTTGGACGTTGGTACAACACTAAACAGTTTAATATGTGATGTGAGACATTGGTACAACACTAGACAGTTTAATATATGATGTGAGACGTTGGTACAACACCAGACCGTCCATTACGTGTGTGACGTTGGTACAACATTAGACAGTCCAATATGTGTGCGACGTTGGTACAACACTAGAATATGCTAATTGCTCTAAACTCTAAACGGTGTAAAAATCCCGTATACACTAATTTAAACCAACTGTTTATAAATCTGGGGGGGGGGGTGAAGAAAAAAATTATAATCTGATAGCAGTTGCTCGAGGACCTAACCTCAGTCACAACAGTTTGAGTAGACATGCTGTCCTAGATTGGACAGCTCAGTCGGTACAGTTTAAATGGACAGGCTGTCCTAGATTGGACAGCTCAGTCGGCACAGTTTAAGTAGACGGGCTGTCCTAGATTGGACAGCTCAGTCGGCACAGTTTAAGTAGACGGGCTGTCCTAGATTGGACATCTCGGTGCAAGGTCATAGAGGACTGAAAGTGCATATGGTATAAGATTAAAAACCGAGTGGCAGACGGCTTGTCAGGTAGACCGAAACTGGGTGAATCGATAACGTAGAGCTGGATGTACATTATTAACTGGTAGTCTGTACTGTCAGTGGCGTAGGAAGGGGGAAGGGGGGGGGAGCCACGCGGTCCAGCCTAGGTGACAATTTTTTCCCCTTCAAAGGGGTGGGTTGCATTTTTGACCGTCGAGTACAACGAAAAGAAAGAGATCTTAGGGAGCTAAATAAGCTTGGCATAATTTTATTTTAACATCAATTATTACCCATTATTTTGAGATACTGGAAGTTTTGAAAGCGTTGGTTTTATTCCAATCAGTGTAATTAGCTTTTCATTCCGACCCAGTTAAATAGAAATAAAGGGAGGGGGGGGGAGATAATGAACAAATCAATTCTTCGTCTAACAGGATAGCCAATCAGATGTCGGTATTATTTTGAGAGATATTTTCTTTTGATGACGTAGAGTGACATGAAATAACAAGCTAAATGGAGGCCTGTGTGACAGATGTAATAATATTCGGTAACACTAAAACAACAACAACAACAACGACAACAACAACAACAACAACAACAACAACAACAGAAGAATGCTTTAGCCCAGGTGTAGCCAACCTTTTTAGCTGGCGGGCCAAATTTGAGAAATAATATTTCCTGCCGGACCACGAACCTAATTTTGTTAGTTAATTAAAGTCAACAAGTAAGCGTGCTACACTTTCGACCACATCGTCACTTGCCAGCAGGTGAGATCGTGGTCAAATGCTTGCCGGGCTTAATGTAACAAAAAAATACAACAAATTGATTTTTTTTTTAATTTTGTAAAAAAAAATAAAACATAACTGAGAATCAAACTTATTTATAGACAATTTAAAAATATTTCAAAGTGAGACACCTGACTTCGTCTTGCAGTCTGCAGAACTAAGTGCATCAAAATTGACCTCGTCTGATGTTGTCGCTACACGCAAACAGTTCTCCAAATGAACATCAGTCATTCGTGTTCTCACTTGTGATCCGATGTGCTTCATAGGACTTAAAAGCTGTTCACACGCATACGTATTTCCAAATAGCGAAACCGTCGAAAGAGCATGTTTGTAAAACCCAGGATATTTATTCTTGTCCAAATACGTTTTGTAAAGCTCTCCCAAAACCATCTTGGTGGATTTTCTTCTTTAACTGTGTATCACAACGCATCTCAGTGTTCCATTTGTAATCTTTCCGGTAATAAATTCACGTCTATCGCGAATGGTGTTGTAAATGCACACAAAAAAATCACATGATGTTGGTTTTTTTTTTTTAATCCATAAATCGGTTTTCAAATTCGAGGTTTAAGTCAGATGTCAAAGAGTCAGCGTATTTACCCACCGCATCCTGTGTGCACGTCTGGTTATAATGACAATGTTGGAAAGTGAGTCAAGTTTTTGTCCTCAACTGTTGTTCCCAAAGACCAAGTTTCATTTGAAATGCAGAAATATGATCATACATCTTATTAATTGCTCTTCATCTTGTAGAAGAGTATTGATGTCATTTAGGTGGCAAGTTCTATCGACCAGAAATGCAAAGTCACAAACCCACTCAAACTCTTGAACACTTAGTGACTTGCTTGCAAAGAATTATTGTATTCCTTGCTGCAAATCAAACACTCTTTTCAACATTTCGGCACGGGTCAGCCATCTTACATCTGCATCAAATGTAACGTCATTATAATCTGAGTCCAAAGACTTTAGAAATTCTTGGAACTGACGGTGATTCCACCCGTTCGACTTAATGAAGCTCACTATTTTGACGAATATTATCATGACACGGTCCATTTTGAGGGACTTCGAGCATAAATTCTTATATGAATAATGCAATCAAAATTTAGCATTGAAGTATTACCGACTTTGGAGGCTTCATTTTCAATCAATTTGACTAAACCTTCATGTTTCCCATCCATTGCTGGAGCACCATCCTTTGTTAAGTCAAATACTTTGTTAAGACTTAAACTTCATGTTTCCCATCCATTGCTGGAGCACCATCCTTTGTTAAGCGCTACAAGTTGTTAAGTTGTAAATTTCGATGTAACTTTTGCCTCTGACAAAGCTCGTGGCTTAGTAGTTAAGTGGATAGAGTGCCACTTACTCTTCTGTCTTTTTTTAAAATGGACATCAACACCCCTGATAAAATTTGCCGGTCGGACAGTATCTGCCATATCTGCGTGCTTTCATCAATAAAATATAAACTGGGATGCTCGACCCTTCAAATTATCTTCAATATATTTTCCAATGTCGTCCACACGCCTTATAGTATTAGCCTGACCAGACAGACTTATGCTTGAGAAATCCTTCTTCTTCTCTGGAAACAGAATTTCAACGACGCTCTCCAAACATTCTTTAACAATTTCACCATCTGAATAATGTGGCTTCGATTATTTTTTTTTCCTTATAGTATCATGACTATTGCATAACTAGCTTTTACACAGCATGTTGACTCTGCTCTACTCGAGCAGATTCATTTAGTTTTGCAGAATTTTGTGTTTAAAGTCATTTACTTGGTCTTGTCGAACTTGCCCTTTGTACTTATCAAAGTTATTCGCATGTTTGGTCTCATAGTGTCGTTTGCTGTTATACTCTTTCAAAAAAAAAGTAAACAGATTCATTGCATATCAAGCATATGGGTTTTGCTTTATAAAAATAGTTTATAGTCAACCTGTCTTGAAAATTTATTAGTCTTCTGTGATTCTTCTCTTCTTTGGTCCAACGTCTTTACTAGTTGACGTTATGGTAGGCCTTCGTTTTTAACTGAAAAAAAAAAAAAAAAACACGGGTATACTAATTAATAATAATGAATTAATTTAAATTACATAAATAAAGCGTTTTGAGGTTTACTTGCCTTTAATATCGATATGGTAGACAGGAAACTTGGTTAAAGTAGTTTGAAATCTTATTATAAATAATATGATGAATATGTATTTTAACGCCGATCGCAAACTCTCCCCAGACGCAGTGGCGATAGTAGAACGAAACTTACAGAATAGCACGGAATTTCGTCAAGCTGTATACTGCAAGTCGTTATGAGTATGAGCCCGATAGCGTTGCGAGCTTCCCGAACACGTCGAAGACCACAGAACATATATTATATCAGAAGTTGAATTCTCATATTAAATTTTATCAACAGCTAACGTCGGAGAAAAAAAAACTAAGTAACCTTGAGTCTCAAATAGCGGGACATTTGAAATAGCTAAAATCCTTTATGATTTTTACCCGGAAATGCGTTTTGTTTAAAATAGCTCAAAATCAATGCATGTTCCCAAAATTTGCGAGATAGTTCAAATTTCTCTTAGCTATAATATAAAAATATATGTTTTGAACGACTCAAGATGTAATGTTCAAAAACTCTGTTTAAAAATGTACTAAGAGTTGTTTTTTAAAAAATGAGAAATTCAACTTTCAGATGGCCCGGTTTGTATATAGAGATAATTTATTTAGGCCCGGTCCATAGGTGGGGATAGTTTATTGTAGTTGGCCCCGTCAATAAATAGTGATAGTTTATTGTAGTTGGCCCCGTCAATAAATAGTGATAGTTTATTGTAGTTGGCCCCGTCAGTAAATAGTGATAGTTTATTGTAGTGGGCCCGGTCCATGGAGAGTTAATGATTATTGTGTTATGAATACAAGTATTGCAGCTCTGTGATTTATTTTCATGTATTGCAGCTGTGTTATGTATTCATGTATTACAGCTCTGTGTTATGTTGTCATGTAATGGAATCGAAATCCGTGTTTTCATTTACATCTTATGTCTTAACCACTTTACACACACTAAAACAGTCAGATGGAAAAAACCAAAAAAAACAAACAAACAAAAAAGACCACTAATCTCAGGTATACGTCACCTTGACATTGATCCCTGCTACGACACGTGCGGTCTGCTGGGCACGTGCCACAGTTTCGTCTGCGGCGGAAGCATCTGCCCCATCATCAAACAAGTCAGAAGCTTCCTGCGGGACAACAAGGACGAGGTCGTCACCATCAACTTCAACCATGAAATTGTCAACCCTGAGAAAGTCTTCCAAGGACTGAACCGACAACTCCAGGTTTGTATCTGTTGACTGGGAGTTTTTTTTTTTTTTTTAAAAAGACTTTCTCTCTACTCGCATTTCTATCATGTTTGGTTGTTTGTCGTACTTTTTTAGTTGACACACGCGACACTTTCGTTCAGTCGATTGAGTCGTTGTCGTGCAGTGATCACCAGGTGAACAGGATTGGCGGGTTGACACGTTCGCTCAAACTATGGTTGACAGCGTCTGTTTTGTTGAGTAAACGGGTGGGTAGGGGAGCTCAGATCTACTTTTTAGTTATATGCCTAGATATAGAGTTAAGCCATTTATAACGGGATTTTGTAAGCATTCGTTGTTTAAAAAAAAAAAGTAAATGATTTTAATTTTGTAGGTAATTTAAATATTGCAATTTTAATACTAAAAAAATAGAAAATATTTTTTGAAAAACTTTAAAAAAATTATTTTTGATCAAAAACAAGTTTAAAGACATTAAAAGTGAGAAAATAATGTAACATTTCTTAAAATACACCACGCAAACAAAGTATGTGTAGTAAATATTTTTTTTAAAAATAATTTAAAAACATTTTTACATTTTTTTCTGCAATTTGAATCCTTTTTTGAGAGCTCAACTACACTTCTCCACAGTATTTCTTTGCGCAATGCAGTTTAAGAAATTTTAAATCATTTTCTACATTTTTGTTATGTTATTGTGCTAGGTATCTTTTAAACATCTTGCCATTTTCGTCTCTTTATAACTGAATATCGTGGCATTTAGGCCTCTTTATAAATCAATATCGTGCCATTAGGCCTCTTTATAACTGAATATCATGCCATTTAGACGTCTTTATAACTGAATATCGAAAAAATAAGACAAATTCAAACTTTTAGAGAAATATTTTAAAACTAGTTTTAGCTCGCCAAACATTGGCGACAGCAATGTGTGAACGTCCCATCTACTAAAGTTACTTTACAAAACATAAACTCAAGTGACGCACATTTAAGAAGAGCAATATTTGCCACATCCTTCCCCCATGATACATCACTGCACACTTTTTATTTCACAACAAAATCAAATTATAATTTAATTCATTTTATTAATTATTTAAAAAACCAATGATTCATGTAGCAAAAGTCTCTTTATTAAATAAATAACTCCATTACTAACACACCCTTATTGACCACGCCATCGCTGCTGCTGCTGCTAAAACATAACACCATTAACATCGCCATTATGCATAAACAAAATATGCGTCACAAAATACAAAGCATATAGCAAGCGCTACGAAAATAATCTCGGTGCATATACGCTGAGGAGGAAGCAACTGGAAATGGTAGCAGTCACACCAGAAACGTAAAATATCTAAGAGATAATTTAAAAATAAAGACCTATCGCGTTCATGACTGCAGAAGTGGGTACGCTAGAAGAGAGCGGCTGGTGAGCTATTCAAATATTGTCAAACTAAGATACTGTTACAACAAAACGGTATTCATTTATTAGTGCCCGGGTTAAGCTTCTATGTCTAGAACGCTCATAAGATGAAATTTTAATTTCAAGTAATTTGACCACCCACGATATTTATTAGCTCGTCTGGAAAACGGCGATTTATATACATATATATATATATATAATTAGCATAGAGAAAATACAGAAATATCGCGTGACTTTTGTACCCCCTCCTCCTGCCACTTGACAGTTTTGTGACCTCTGCTCTTTTCAACATCGCAACTTTGGGCCTCATATGTCCACGTCCACCCCCCCCCCCAAACCCCCACCCCTAAAAAAATATAATTTTTTTTTAAAAATTGCTTTCCAGAAAATAACCACACTTTTAAATACCCCCTCCTCCTGCCACTTGACAGTTTTGTGACCTCTGCTCTTTTCAACATCGCAACTTTGGGCCTCATATGTCCACGTCCACCCCCCCCCCAAACCCCCACCCCTAAAAAAATATAATTTTTTTTTAAAAATTGCTTTCCAGAAAATAACCACACTTTTAATATCCACAGTTGATTTTTTAAAGCTTCTTTCTTCGTGTGTTTTCTTTAAAAATCCTTCCTTTGCAGACACAAATGGGGCCTCTCCTGAACAAAAAGTTCAGACAGTCTCGGGAGAAGAAATGGCCGACTCTAGGGCAGAGCATCAGGGCCAACAAGCGAGTATTTGTCTTCTACGCCCCTGTGATCGAGTCGTCCCCCCACAACAAGCTCTACCAGCGGTACAAGTGGATCCACAGCGAGAACTTCTACGGTAGCACCTGGCGGCCATTCTCTGTCCATTACGGCTGTGACGAGGTCAGTTGTGACTGTGTACACAGGTCAGTTGTGACTGTGTACACAGGTCAGTTGTGACTGTGTACACAGGTCAGTTGTGACTGTGTACACAGGTCAGTTGTGGCTGTGTACACAGGTCAGTTGTGACTGTGTACACAGGTCAGTTGTGGCTGTGTACACAGGTCAGTTGCGACTGTGTACACAGGTCAGTTGTGACTGTGTACACAGGTCAGTTGTGGCTGTGTACACAGGTCAGTTGTGGCTGTGTACACAGGTCAGTTGCGACTGTGTACACAGTGGACAAGCTAGGGTTTATGTCGCCGGGGCGGGCCACAATTTTTCCACGAAAAAAAAAATTTGGTACAAATGATGAAAAAAAAAAAGAAGAGGAAATTGTCCCCCCGGGCGACACAGGTCAGTTGTGGCTGTGTACACAGGTCAGGTGCGACTGTGTAAACAGGGGACAAGCTAGGGTTTATGTCGCCGGGGCGGGCCACAATTTTTCCACGAAAAAAAAATTTGGTACAAATGATGAAAAAAAAAAAGAAGAGGAAATTGTCCCCCCGGGCGGACCGGCCATTTCTACATTCCCCTTTCCTACGTCACCGAGTGGGCATCTTTCATTTGCTTGTAATTTGTGATTTCTAAATCCCACAAAATTTCAGATTGCTTTTTTTTTTTTTTTTTTTTTTTTTTTTTTTTTTTTTTTTTTTTTTTTTTTTTTTTTTTTTTTTTTTTTTTTTTTTTTTTTTTTTTTTTTTTTTTTTTTAATATGATACAGTGGACATTAAAATATCAAATAATTATTAACCTCCTTTTTTCATTTTAGATTCTTTCTCCGAAAATCAAGCGCGCCAATTATACAATCTTGATTGTAGGAAGTAAACGGCAGCAACCATATTATTTATAATTCCCGCTAATTTCCTCTTGACTTCCGACGACGTGCCGGTGTATACACACCAAAACACTCCCATAAAGTTAAGGTGTAAAACCAGCAAAAGATCGAACCAACAAGATAGCAACTATTATCAATAAAATCAACACATATCTTAGCCATGTATACGTTAAAGTCGATAAGTTTTGGATAAACCAAACTTTGATAAATTGAAATGCACGGATTTTTGTAAGTTGTTGAAAGATGGACAACGCTCGTGTGAATCAAACCAAAAGGGGGAATTGAAGGGATAGTATTTAAGTATAGAAATCCGGCATTTGACTTTTGATATGTAAAAATCTCCATCCATGACGAGGATATCCATAATTTCAGGTGGTCAATCTGACAGCGGCCCGGTGCGAGGTGAGAAAGTCGAGGGAGCTCGTGGAGGTGTCCATCATCCCCGAGAAAGGTGGCTGCATTGACAACATGGCTGAGAAGTGTCGCCCGTTCCTGCACCAGGCTCTCAGGGCGTGCGAGGGGTTTAGATTTGAGTAAGTCTCCTACGAGTACAGTAGCAACGGACAAAGTAGCAAAGTTCAATAATCAATACATATTGTGAGTTTGTTCCATTTACTATTAGATATTTTATATAACCAATGGCGAGTGAAAATCTGAAGGGGAAATTTTAAAAACAAACAATTTCATTGGTAGAAATGCTGCAGGCATTGATTTATATTCGCGAAGTTTCCAACTTAAATAAATGCGTTGAAAAGCCGGGGATTGGAGCTGGGGCGTCATTTCAGGGTTTTTTTCAAGGGGGATTGGGGGGGGGGCAAAACTAAAAATTTGTCAGCTCGTTAAGTTATTTATTACTGGAGGTGCCACAGTACATAGGACTTTAAATCAAACCTGCAAATTCAGAGAGGGGGGGGGGAGACAAATGGCCCAACCTGCCCTACCCAAACGGCGTCCCTGGATTGGACACCTGGATACATTTCGCCGGAGATGAAAATTCAAATAATACTAATCCAATTTCTTAAATAAATTTTGGTCGGATAGGATTAACATTTATCAATGGCCATCATGTCTTAACCCCCACACTGTGACGCTGTATGGGCTTTTATCTATTAGGCGAAACGATTCCCCCAACGTCTTGCTCGTGGACTACCCAGAAGTCGACAGTGGCGCCACGTCGTCAGTGTTCCACGCTGTCTACCACCAGAATGTACGAAACATTCACAAACACCGATCACAATCATGCCGTGTAAGTGTTTCTGTTTACAATTACCGTTCACGCTTGTAGGTTTCGTGTAGAAATGTTGCATGCAAAATATGTGTGTTTATAAAATGGAATTTTAAAAAAAATATTTAAAAAAAGAACAGGTTTAGAAAAAGCATTTCTTGCACCCGAATTTCCTTTTCTAACATGTGCACTATTTTCAGGACTCACTTCAATTACGATAAACTGTTTTGAATTCAGTACAAATTCAGTGGCATATTGCATTATTATTTTGCATTATGCCCAAATGTTTTTTGGTGTAGCACTTCACTGTAAAGCTATCTGTCCTTAACGTTACCATCAGTAGTGTAAGGTCCAAATTTTCGCACAGGAAAACTGTTCAGGGTTCTAAACTCCACAGATGCTTGAAAAATCGGGGGCCGAAATTAACTGCCAAAAAAGAGCAGAGCATATGCCACGTATACTAGTGGCGCAGCCAAGGTTAATGCCACCTGGGGTGGGCCAAGCCTTTTGCTGCACCCCCCCCCCTTTTCCATGTAAAAAAACAACAAAAAACCTATGCAGTTGGTTGCAAGTAGCACGCCTCAAAATAAAGAAAAAGTGACCCGGGGCTGACCACTTCGTACATTTAAAATGTCTGTCTGTCGTACGTGATCCTTGAACAGATCTTAGCTTTGTTACTTACATCAGAGCCGTTGCTTGACTTGGGGGGGGGGGGCGCCACCTGCCACTTTCTGGTTTTGTTCCCCCTGCATTCAAAGTTGATAGTTTTTTTATTTTTTTTTTCAAATCCCTAAGTTTGGTCCCTTTAGTTTCCGAGCGCCTCACCCCCCCCCCCCCCTTTTCCAAAAAAAAACAACAAACAAACCCGGCAGCTGAAGCGACGGTTCTGATTAATATAAATAACCTTCAAAAAATTAATTTAACAAAAACAAAAAAAAAGAACAAAAACAAAGGGTCGAGGGATGAGGCGAAGAAAAACGAAAATTTTTATTGGGGTTTATGCACTGGCCTCGGAATATGGGGGTGGATAGTTGGGTCTGCAGTGAGGGAAGGGGTGGCGGGGGGCACAACTTTGTCGGGCTCCATTTTTCAGTCTACTGCATAAACTATTTATGGCTTATTTCTGTGTGTGTATTCTGTACTCGGTGGCCTTTTGGGGAATTAGGGGGTGACGAAAGTTAATACCACCCCGAGGCGTTGCAAACTCTTGCTAACGCAACTGGGGTTATTTTTTTTACATTTTAGTTTATATTTACCAGTTAGTGTTGTTGGTGTACTGACTGGCGTTTTGTCTGTGTCCAATTTTTCTTGTTTACAGACACGAAACTGGTCGCATGTGAAAGATTGATTTTTGTTTAATTCTTTATATAGATGTTATATATATATATATACATATATATATATATATATATATTTATTTATTTATTTATATATATATATATATATTTCCCAGGTCAAGGTCAATGCAGCTGTGAGGGTCTCCCAAGAGGAAACGCTCTTTTTTATTGGAAAGAAAATAATTGTTTACAGTCACAGTAGACGCGCTCAAGTGGGCGTGAGGTCAGTCCAACATTACTAGTTCCGTGCTGAAAAAACAACTGAGATATCATGTTTATTCATATGCCTGTGTTTCTTTGTCATTACTAAACCAGCCTTCAATACCACTGCACTCCAAATTTATTTAATTTTTTTAAAGAGAATTACACGACTTTAAATGGCACACGTCCCGGAAATATAGTTTGTTGATGATGATAATGACCGGGTGTCTCGAAAAGGACCCAAGCCCTAACCCTAGCTCTGGCCAAAACCCTAGCTCTGGCCCTAACCCTGGCTCTAGCCCTGGCCCTAACCCTGGCCCTAACTTTGTCCCTAGCCCTGGCCTTTGCCCAGCCCTAGCCAAGGAAAAGGTTGCAACCGGGGCAATGACTGAATGTTCAGACTGCCTTGCCAAAAAGGTATGCTTGTATTGAAGATTGTTCATAAATGATGACACGTGATTAAAATGACTAGGGCCTAAGCTACCCCCCCCCCCCCCAAAAAAAACAAAACAACGTATAGCGCAGTGGCGTAGCTAGGGTCATCTGCGCCCGGGGACATGACACAAAGTCTGCGCCCCTTCTCGGACCGACTGAGTCTGTGGGCTCAGTTGAGCCCCCCCCCCCCCCCCCCACGAAAAAAAAAATTTTTTTTTGAAATTGTACGGTTTATATGGTTCATTTTCGAAGTATCTGGTATTTTAATGAAATAGAATACAGACTAATAATTCTCTATACGATTGTAAACAATTTATTTGAAGAAAAAAAATACTCTACTAATTATATATGACTGGAATAGACATAGTCTACAACAAATTGATCCTCCTTGATTTGACTGTCGCAAACTCGTCAATCACGTTGTCAAAATCAATATTCTCAAGTGCTTCTCTTTCGATGCTAAGAAGTGCAAGATCACTCAGACGATCTTGTCCCATTGAAGCACGTAAATAAGACAGAATAAGCTTCAGTTTGCTGAAGGACCGTTCACAGCTTGCAATTGAAAACAGCAATTGTTAGAAGTATTTGCATGCGCAGTGAAATGCGCAGATTCGGAAATACGTCATGTCCATATACAGTTCGGGTAGTGAGCACCATTTCGCAGTCTCCGATTTCTGTGCACAATTCGGGACCATTGACGTCAATGTCGTAGAAATTTCCAAAATCTAAGAAATTTTGACGAAGTGTATCGACATTTGTAACAGTGAGAAGAGATTTGCGTCTAGTAAAAATTCAAATTTGGTGTTTAGCTTTTTTTAGACGTAAAAACCGTATTGATATCTCCTGTTCATAACACGTGCAGTTTGTTCGTCTGCAGAAAGTCCTGCATCTCTTGCTAATTCGCCAGGCATCCTTCGATGTCGTCTAATCCTTCTGTCAACCTCGATTCCCCAATTGTCCATTTTGTTTTTCCATTATCTACCGCAACCTGGCTCAAATAATCACGAATGTTGACAAGTTCTTGCTCCAGCGATTCAAGATCAGATGCTGATTCCTTGAAATTCATAGTAGGATCCTGCAACCGTTTCTGAACACGATCAATTTTCCCAAGTATGATGTTCCAGAAATGTAACAAAACTAGGAAATTAAATTTTAAACACCTGCCAGCAAAGTTTCTGCATCAGTTCTGGTTTCAGGCGTCATTAGTTGCATCTTCTGATAATTTTTCCAACAGCCCTACTAGTTCATCTGGTCCTTCATAAATAGCTTTAACAGCTTCTGATCGTGCACTCAATCGTGTTTCAGACTCCCTCTTCACTGTGATTGGCACAACTCTTTTAATTCTTCCCAACGAGTTGTTGAACGATAGAAAAACAAATACCTACTTTCAGCTGTTCCAAAAAAGGTGATAACAACTTAACTGGATCCTGTTTAGCTGAGTGTACTCTTGCTAAGTTTAAGCTGTGGTTGTCACAGTTGACAATCAATGCTCTGTGATTTCTGGCACATATTCGCTGTTGAAGGCCGGATATATGCCCGGTCATTACAGCAGCATTGATATAACATTGTGAACGACAGTCGGCTAGAGGTATGTTATTAGATTCCAGTTTCTCTACGATAAATCTTTCAAGGCTTGCTGCGTCTTTGGAATGTATCTGGGCAAAACCTAAAAATGATTCTTTGATGGTTACATTTTTAGTTTGAAAATCCACATCCACAAATCTGATGACTTGAGAAAGCTGTTCCCGGTGTCCTAGATCGGGTGTTGAATCAAGTAAGATAGCGTAGTACTTTTTTTTTTCTGATTTCTCTCAACAGCTGATTCGTTCAGTCGATGCAAGTAGGTGGATAAATTCATTTTGGATTTCCGGTGATAGATAAGATACTGAACCTGGATTTTTTTCGGGCATGTTGTAGGTGTTTTTCTTACAGTGGATCATACTGAGCAACGAGTTTGATCACAGAGAGAAAGTTTCCAACATTTTTATCCTCGTCCTTATGCAGATGTTCCTCATGGCCACGCAGTGCCAAGCCAAATTTTGTGAAACTAGAAACTTAATACAGGTAAGTATTCTTTTCAAAATATCGCTCCAGCGTTGTTTTTCCAATTGAATTTGAGCTTGGACCTGGACACCAATTCCAGTTTTATCAATTATCCTCCGCTCGGCTTCCTTCAATGTAGTAAAAGCTCTGCGGTGGCCGAGACTGTTTTCATAAGACTGTAGTTTTTATGGCTTTCTCCATTTGTTGAAACCATTGGTTAACTCAAATGAAGATCGTGAGTTTGAACTTGATGTAAACACTAGACAGCAGAAACAATAAGCAGCTTTAGTAATTGGTGAATATCATAGCCACGAGCGATTTACTTCCTCTCCATTTGCTAGTCGGCGTTTAAACCATGACGTAGTAATCGAACGTTCCCCTGCTACTGACGATAGACTGCCTCTATGCTGAAAGGGTATAGATCCCTGAGTTATCAATTCATCCCGAAGAGGCTGTGGTATTATCGATAGCTTTGTCCTTTGATCAAATTCTAAGTAGCCAACATCATGAAATCTTAGGACAGCTGGAACAAGAACAACACCATATTTCGCTTCTTCATCAAAAGAAAATTCTTCAGTCTCATTGTCCTCGTCACTGTCCGAAAGTTCGTCGTCTTGTTGAATCTGTTCTACAACGACGTCTCTGGTGTTTTTCTCAGCATAAACAGTAGCATCTGTCTGAATCATATCTTCTTGTATGTTGTAATCCTGGCGGTATGGTTCAACCTTATCGCTTTCGTGTTCTAAGACTGGCGTTGCAGGCGATTGATAACTGCCGTCAAGTGAGAGAAAGCTGCAGATTATATTCAACTAGACGAATACTTGTTATCTATCTTTCTCTTTTCAACGTATGTGAATATTATTCTATCTTCCTTGCACTCAGGTAAAATCCTATATTCGACTAGAAAATCAGATGCCACTTTCAGTATATGAAGAATAATATTTGAACCCGAACTGATCTTTGTTTTTAAAAAAACGCCATCAGCAATCCTACATTGTGGATGTGTCATTTGTTTATGAGTAGAATGGCGCCCCTTAATGCTCATTGGGGGCGCAAAAATCATGCTTGCCAACTGGTTTGTAATGAAGATATCTGTGGAGCTCCAAAATTCAATCTTGCAAACGTATTTGGGAGACATTAGTTTACACCAAAATAAAATTAAATAATTCGTTTTAATACTCATTTTGGGGCCCCCTAACGTGGCGCCCGGGGACTTAATATGTCCCCCCTCCCCCCCCTAGCTACGCCACTGGTATAGCGCGGCATTGGCCACGAAACGACATCACTCTACCACAGTGATAACTACACTTCTCAAAATAAGAAATTACAATTTCAATACACAGTCAATTTAAATCACAATCGTTACCTTAAAAAAATTGAAACAATCCCTAAAAATAAAGTGGTTTTTTCCCCTGTCTAAGTCCGTTATACGTATTTTTAATTGTTTTATTTTATTTAATATTCAAATGTCACACCCGCTTTTACACCGCAGATTTAATGCACCAACTATTTCAGAAAAACAAAAGAAAATATTACGCAGCAAACGCATTTGCGATTTTTTTTTTTTTTTTAAAGAGTCTCATTCGGCGCAGTTATTTCGTGAATTCATTGCCAACATATTTCTTTATAATTTTTTTATTTTATTTAATATTCAAATGTCACACCCGCTTTTACACCGCAGATTTAATGCACCAACTATTTCATAAAAACAAAAGAAAATATTACGCAGCAAACGCATTTGCGATTTTTTTTTTTTTTTAAAGAGTCTCATTCGGCGCAGTTATTTCGTGAAATCAATGCCAACATATTTCTTTCATCTTCCCCTTAAAACAGGAAAAGCGTATTTTGGGGGTTAGGGTGGGGCTGAAAATTTGAAAGAAAGTGTTGTCATTGTCAACGAGTCTATGTGCCAAGTTTCAGCTCGATGGGTTGACGGGGAGGTGGGTCGATTCGCCTTGATAAGATTTCGCCACCTAGCCAGAAAGAAACACACGGGAAAAACGTGAAGATAATATAAAGGATTTTTTTTTTAAAAATGAATATCACTTCAGCGGCCTCGAACCACTCCACCGACAAAGGCGGAAGTAATGTTTCGAAATGGTGGAGGGGTGCGATGAGTGTGGGGGGAAAATTGTACGGGAGAGTTTGGTATGACACAAATTTTAAAAAAAAAAAAAACTATTAGTACGGGTCATGTAGCGTTAAATGTGTGGTTGCATGGGGAGTTAGTTCAGTGTGTGTCAACTTGACAGCACGACAATGAATAGGGCTACACATTCGTGGAGTTCAAAGTTCAAACACAAAGCAAAGCCATAAAATCAAACCAACGCACATTATCTATTCTTGAAGTTTCATGACTCCTGACCTTCTCTTGGGTGGAGGGAAGTGGGGTGGTTAATCTGATGCATCGGAAACAGTTGATGTCCATAATTTTAAACAAAAAAATTAATTGCCCAGGCATGTCAGTTCCGAAAGTTTCCAGCGATTATGCACTACAGCAGTGGCGGAGCTAGGGCTAGTGCCGCCCGGTGCGGGTCGAAAAAAAAAAACCTGTGCATTTGACCGAAAAAAAAGCCGCCTCTCCATATAAAGAAACCCCCTTTCCTACGCCACTGCACACTATCTTTTGGTTATTGGCGGGTACCGAAATAAATCGAAAATGATCATTGTTTTGATATGTAAAGGTATGTATGCACGGATGCAACGATGTGTTCATTACGCGCACTAAATAACATTCCCAGAAGTTTGCACTAAGTTGTGCGTTTTAATAAAGTGCGTTACTTGAATGCTTGTTTTTGTCAAGTAGATTTAGCTGCATGGGAAGTTTACGCATCGCTGCCACCATTTTTTTTTTGCGGAATGTTTCTAGTTATATAATAAAGGTGTTGGTATGACTATATTTAAAATTATTTTTTTTATAAGCACGTTATAGATATAAATAAAATAAATTTTAACACATAATTTTTTTGTGAAAGAAAAAGTAGTAAATTGTAAGAATAAATACCTGATCTCGACGATTTTAAAGGGGCCATTTCTAGTTTTGTATCCATTTGTTGTGTCCAGGGATGCGCCCGACCTGTACAACATAGACGCAGCTTACGGGGTGCCAGAACGCAACGCTGTACGGATCGTTAAAGGTAACGGCATACGTCGTCTTAATGAAACGGCTAATCCCCTATGGCAGGCCCGCACAACTCAAAATGTAAGGCGGGCCGTAATACTTTATGAAAAACGTGTGCGGACCAAAGGAAAATAAAACAGGACTTGTGCGGGCCAAAACAAAATAGGTCAGGAGGAAAGCTATTAAGAAAATAATAAGAATAAAGAGCATTTCGATACTTCGCGGGCCACAAAGTCGGTGCTGGCGGGCCGCATGTGGCCCGCGGGCGGTATGTTGTGCAGGCCTGCCATAGTGATATAAAAGAGATTCTTCTATGACACATAAATAACGATTTTCTTGAAATGTGACCTTTTCAATTCATATTGTCCCCCTAGCCCCGGGTGCTTCAATGTTACGATTTAATCTCCTCATGGATACAATCATATTAAGTGATCTATTTGACACGATACAACGTCTGATGTCTAGTTTTATGCTGCATGGCGTTGTCAATTTTTGTTATTTGTTTACGTGAGTCACCAGGGTTGTCAACTTCAAAAGTAAAATAAAATTGACAAACAAATATAAAGATCTTAAAAAATTTTAAGGGAAAACATCTATTTTCTCCAATTTTTTTTTTCAAACATTAAATATATTCCTTTATTTAAATATGGAGCTTAAAAAACCCATTGAAACATCCTTAACGTATGTCTCTATCTCAATCAAGTACGGCCTACCTACAGTTTAATCTCAGAGCCGCGGCTTGACTTTTCAAGGTTCCCTGCCAGTCTTTGTTATTTACCTTTTTTTTTTTTTTTTTTCAATTTAAATACTTTTTTTTCCACAACCAAAGTTTTCACAACTTTAAATATATTTTATTTCCCTTCCCCCAATTTTTNTGCCCATTTTGTACGGACAATCTTTCAATTATTAAGGACTTTTTTTCGGACAAGTCTTTTGTGTCAAAGTTTCGCGGGCTGGTCTTTCCTTTACGCCCGGTCGACTGACAAACCTGTGGATCATTGGCTTTTTTTTTTCTAAAAAAATTCGGTTCTTCCAAGAAGTTTCGTAATTAATTTGAATCATTTACGAGATAATTTAAAAAAAAAAAAAAACATATATAAATGCAAAGAATTCGGAATGCCAAGGCTCACAAAGAAAAGAGTTGAGAGTCTTTTATTTTTCTATTGAAATATAGACTAATGCTTAATATTGTTTTTAAATTTTTTTAAAAAATGATTATTATCAGGCTAATTTTGGTTGAAAAAAAAAAAAAACATTTATTGTAATAAGGATTCATTCTTTAGGGTGTGAAACGTGGGATGTGGATGCGACTAGCTTGCTTCCCCTGTCAAGGGAGAGAAGAGCGCTCGTGACTTGTAACTTGGATGCAGCGGTCGTTTGGCTTTCCCAACTTCATACTTTTAAAGGTGATTACATCATTCCGCAGTTGACATGATTAAAATTAGTCATTAGATTAAGAATAAGAGCCGACGGTTACAAAATTTTTGGATTTAACACTTCTGAAATTTAAAAAAATGTCCTGGTCACAATGTTATTCTATGTATACATATACTTTTTTATTTAAAAAAACATGATCATTGGATGGAAGGATGCAATGTCACCACTGAAGGATCTGACCCCACACCTCTCGTCAGCTGGGGGCTGCCCTGCCAACTGGACGCTGTCCTGCACTCTGATGGGAAGCTATTCGTGTTTAGGGACAACAGCTATTGGAAATATACAGGAAAGGGGGTTGCTTCCCTTGAAGGACACACTTTAGACTGGACCATCGACGCTGTCCAATGTGGCAATTCAAATATATAGATCGATAGATCATGTCTTTTGATTTTTTTTAATGGTGGTGGTTGGGCCTCTCGGGATTTACTCATAACTGTTACACAATAAACCATCAGATTTTATTTACCGTGTTAGAATTACTGATAGAGTAGCCTAAGTTAGTTAAACTTTTGTCTATTTAATGTAGATTACGGGTGGCCCACTTCAGTTAACATTTTATTTACCGCCGTGGCGCTCCACCCTGTTATAAAAATTACAAAATTGCCAAATATAATTATATAAAGAAAATCTTCATTCAGTACCCCCCCCCCCAAATAATACACCAGGGCTCTTAGCGGGCCATACGGTTCACAATGAGAACCACTGAACTAGACAGCATCTGCTAAATCTTCAACTTGGATTTTTAAAAAACACACAAAAAAATTATTTACCGCCGTGGCGCTCCCCCCTGTTATAAAAATTACAAAATTGCCAAATATAATTATATAAAGAAAAACTTCATTCAGTACCCCCCCCCCCCAAATAATACACCAGGGCTCTTAGAGGGCCATACGGTTCACAATGAGAACCACTGAACTAGACACCATCTGGTAAATCTTCAACTTTGATTTTTAAAAAACACACAAAAAAAGTTACAAGGAATGGGAAGTGCTGAGAAGGATATTGAAATGTGTTTGCCAAGAAGGATGTTGAATTTTTCAATCATGTGTGCTGAAAAGGATATAGAATGTGTCAATCATGTTTGCCAAGAAGGATGTTGAATTTTTCAATCATGTGTGCTGAAAAGGATATAGAATGTGTCAATCATGTTGCCAAGAAGGATATTGAATGTGTCAATCATGTTTGCTAAGAAGGATATTGAATGTGTCTCATGTTTACTGAGAGGGATTTTGTAATGTGTCAATCATGTTTGCTGGGGATATTGAAATGTGTCAATTATGTCTTCTCTAAAAAAAATTTAAATAAATACACAAACAAATGGGAATCTATGATTGTTCATGAATTTTTTTTTTATTTGCCTTCCAATTTTTCAATGTCAAGGACATGATCAATGCAATGATAACCTTCTGTAAATAAAATAAACAAATATTCAGTCAGACAAAACAATTTAAACAGTTTATTCTAGCCAGTGGTAGGTGATGGATGCACAGAAATGGCCTTTTCTTAACTACAAGAAGTAATAACGATGAAAACTGTTCAGAAAAAATACGGTGAGTGAGATTTGAAATTATGGTAAAAAATAAAATTTTGAAAAGTCTCATTTATTTCACGCCCAAATTATGTCTTGTAATATAAACTTCTTTCAAAAGTCAAAAGAGAAAATATTGTTTATCCAATCATTAATCAGAATACTATTTTATAACTCAAAGCAGTGAAAGCCATCTGTCCAGGGCTTCTGAAGTCCAAACAGGCCACGCAGTCCAGATAGCTCACACGCAGACAAAACTATCTTTCTTGGCAGATAAACAAACCTTTGTTATTTGTTTTTTTTGGGGCCAGCATACACAATAGAATCAAATATTTAATGACATAAAAGGAGACGGCACATAAGAAACATTTAAACATTGTTTAGAAACTGTGTAATAACTTTATTGAGTATCCATCGGCTGGTGCTTGACTTCTGTACCAAATACATCCAATTCAATTTTTTTAACCTCCGAAGAAAGAGTAGCGGTAGTTCCACGCCTGTAACGATAACTGCCCTGCCTGAAAAAAAAAAATAATGGGTTTTAAATAATACTTATTATTATTTTAATGAAACATTCAATACTGGAGTAAACCTTGGACATTGAAATTTAAGACTATGATGGTACTTAATATGCTGATTATGGATCATTAGATTGGAAAATATTGCTATATCAAACTTATGATTAAGAAAAGAAAATGCATGCACTAATGTTCAAAGTGAATTGTCGAAGAAGAAATTCGTTGGTATTCTACTTACTTGACTCCCTTTTGGTTGGCTATTTCATGGGGTCGAATGTACTCCACTTTATCTTTTGTTATAACACAAAGATCCACATTGCTGCCTGAGCCAAGATCATTGAAGATACCAGCAGCAATGGCGTCACGGACTAGTTTCATGGCCTCTTCCCTCTGAAATTCAGGAGTCATATTCAATTTAGTCACACTATAACAGATGGATACTTCCTAAATTACCCTACAACTTATGAAGCAACAGTTCAATCAATAACCTCGGAAATATGTTTCTCTTACATTCATGTCTGGCTTAAATCTATCTTCAAAAGTTGCCATAGCAGCTAAGGACCCAGAACCTGAAAACAGAAAAGTGTTGAATATATAGCTGTAGAAAAAAACTAACACTCAAATAACAAAAATCACTCTTTAGAATGTGTTTGCCTTGACTCGAAATAATTAATTTTTTTTATAACTTAATTAACAGCATCAGACAGACAGTTTTTTAAACCACAAAGTTTAAATAGTATTTCCTACCCATAGTGACATAGGGAAGCTTGTCTGTTGAACCATGAGGCCATATGCTGTAGAGGTTTGGGCCTGTTACATCGACACCACCAAGTACTAATGCAGCTCCAATATATCCTTGGTACCTAGTCCATTTAAAAAAACAATTTTTCATTATTATTTACAACTAATTTTTATTCCATCCCTTAAAACTACTTTAAACACAGTCCCAACTAATTTTCTTTTTTAAACCCAATTTAAGAAATAGAATGAATTAATACTTGTATTTAGATTTGTTTAACTGCGATTACTCATTAATTAAATATTACAACAAAATAAGACTCAAAGTGATAGTCCATGTTTTGTACTACTTACCTAAAAAGCATCTGTTTTAGGAGTCGATTGGCTGTTGCCACTCTGGGTTTCCGACCAGTGTTCAGTCTGTGAAGTTCCAGTTCTGCTGAGATCATCTGTGTTGTCATCTCTGTATCTGCAGCTGTGCCAGCACCACAGCAACTGTAACACAGAAAACATAGTTGTAATGGTAACTCAACTTGGGTGCATTTGTGCAAGGTATTTTCATTGTTACCTGGCCAGTTTATTTACTGGTAGCAATGAATTGCAATCATTCAGGTTTTAAAAATTGATTATCTTCTAAACAATATTTTTTATAAGCTACAATATTAAATTACTTCTTTGAAAATGGTTTTAACCTTTCATTCTGAAAAAAATATTTTGTTGCATCATTCTAATTATATTTCCAAATCAGTTACTTCAAACATGTCTTTGTGTACAGTACTAAGAGAACTTTTCAACTAGGGGATTATGTGAGGTTATTCTCTCTCAGTCGGTAATATCAATAAAAAGCCCTCATTTAAATTTAGCCAAGATCTCTGCCTCTCCTTAATAAAGAGGTTTCATGTGCCTCGTGCACCATTTAAAGCACCTATTGACAAAATTCTAAAGGCATAGTGCAAGTTGAGGATCCTTTAAGGATCAAGAAGTTGAGCCCCTTGGCTCGATTGCTTGGAAAAACAATAATTTTAACTATTGATAAACCAAAAGATTAACTTAGTTCCTTTGAGCAAACTACTGCTTGTTCTGCAAAATCTGAACAAAAAATATAACTTACTAAATATTATCTGACAGGTAGTGAATCTTGGCACAGTTCTTATCAGCAACCACAGTGTCCTCTGTTGCACGTGTGTCAGCTCCAAGAACAACTCCATCCTTATGAAAACAAACCACAAATTAACTAAAAGTTTTATTTAGATTTAAATTAAATATTATGATATTATAAATATTGGACATATTATAAATATTATCATCAGCAGGTAGCAGAAAAATGGTAACAAGAAATTTTGTAACATATACATTATATACACTGAATACATTCCCCCCCCCCCTTAAAACACTATTAAATTGGTCATAGAAAGCTTTAATTAAAATGTACAACCGGGATTTAAAAAAACCAATCAGTTCATTGACCCAAGTGAGTTAAATATGCAACTTTTAACTTCATTTTATATTCTTCTTCATTTGACATGTATCAAAATTGTTAGGCTTACCACGCCACTTTAACAATGTAAAAAAAATCTAAAGTGATAACATTATCGAGGACCTTATTCCCAAAGCCAATGTTTAAGAGGTTCCTTATTTTAAAGCCCTGTATAAAATAGGTGACATGCAGGCCAAAAAAAATCATCATTCACAGAAACATTTGATGTTGGCCAATGGGTGAACACTTTTGAAATTAAAAACAAGACCGTACGAATTTGCTTATTTAATAGTACCTTAAAGACTATGCCAGCGATAGTTGTACCAGTCTTGTAGGCTGTTGGTTTCTTCAGACCCAGCTGCTCAAGTCTTGAGTTTCTTTTAAAAAATTAAAAATTTGTTTATAATCCTTGACAATGAAAGTTATTCAAAATAAATATTGTATTAAATTCAAAATAAAAAGGTGATGATACAAGCAAGGTTCTAAATAAAACTTACAAAGATGGGGAAGTTACAAGACAAAAATTTGTTTTCAAGATGTAACTTTAACAATTCTATATTATCCAACAAAAAATCAAAGTTAATTATAAATATAGCTGTAAACTCTACTGTACACCACATGTTGGTTCTTTCTCAGAGCTTCATTCATAAATTCAAAGAACATGTGAAGTGCCAACAATAGTTAAGTAATAAGTCATGGCAAAAGTTGAAAGTGCACTTGAAGAAGTCCTTACTCAGTATTTTTTTTACTGGATGCTTTGCTGATAATGTCTATAATTAGGGTAGCCTTACAGAATAGCATAACAATGCCCCACAATAATGCATAGCCCGAAAGGGTACACATTATAATTTTATCTGAGTACACCCTATAAGTTAATGATAAAATACTTTTAAAATGAATGTTAGAGTAGGCTTTAGAACTAATCCTAAAAATTAAAGTTGTTAAAAATTCTCATGAAACCCCTAGTTGTTATAGCACATGGTGAGAACTGCAAACAAAATGTGGAGGTGCAGTCCATCCTAAGAAAAGGACAAATAAACCTGCACTATAGAATTCCCAGGTCCATTTCAAAAACAACTAACTCTTAAGTTACAGCTAGAAAGTGGATTCTGGATTCATTGTTTACAGTGATCTTTGCTCTATACATCTGAACTTTTTTTTTTTTTAAATTAACCTTTTTTTTCAACCAAATTTACCAAAGTAGCTAGATAATGTGAGGAAATGGGTCAAATGCAGACAAAGATCTTTTACAGGTCTCGTCATAGTTTTATTGTTTGTTTCATTACTATGCAAGATTATTTTCCTACATTTACTTCAAATAGATAATCTGTGTCTACACAATTTGAGTTAATGTTAAATTAATAAAGCAAACAGTGACTTGAGTGAAAATATTATCTTTCCTTAGACACTTTAGTAAAGCAAGGGAGACTAGTAAAGAATTTTTAATGGGAAATGGGCGTAAGAGCAGCAATATTCATGTTTTAAATTTTTAGATGATGGAGCTATTTATTTAATAAAATAATTACATCTTCCCACCATTCTGCTCTGTTACTGTCCTTGGCTTGGAGGACATCTTGGACTACATTTTGATCAATTTCTTTTTCATTTACAAAGAGTCAACTTTGCGAAAACCCTTGACTAATACAAGGCATCTTTCATCATTAAGATTAAGTTAAAGTTAAATGTTTACTCTCTTCATTTTTATTATAACCCTCAGGTTTATATTGATCTACATGTGTGCCAATTTTAAAAGCGCTATGTTTTTAATGAGAGACGCCATGGTTTTACATTTGAGCAGCATATTATGTAGGTTGCTCTGCCAAACTTCACTTGGATGTGACCATGCCCAATTTTTAATGGCAGAAGATGCTGATACTTAGGAAATATTCAATTATTACCACTATTTACATCAAAATATTTGATATTTTGTGTTTTAGAGTGAACTTGGAAGTAATTTAAACAAGAATATTTTAATTTGAGCTTTAAAAACCTGACAGAGTCTATCTTATAAATGATCATAACTTACAGTGTGCAAAACGTCATGGGAAAACATTCAGTCGTTGGCATGTGCTCTACTACCATATTATTCTCATAGTTTCATTCATATGAGAATGAATGTGTCATATGAAAACACTATTATATTATTATATCATTGGTCATAGAAAGATTTAATTAATTAGTCGTGCAAAAGTTGAAAGTTCAAAATAAGTAGTAAGTAGTCCAAAACCAGTATTATTTTTAAGGGACACCTTGCCTTACAATGCCTTCCATAGAATATAAATAAAATGGAAGCTAGACTTGGTAAAAAGAACATCCATATCGTATTTAATGTAATAATGCATATGACATAGCCCATAGCTGTAGATAGGTTATGTTATAATTTATTTATAATTGCATAACATTGTTAAAATTATTTTAATAATGAGAACTTTTAATGCTTAGCATTTATGATTAATCCTGAAAATAAAAGTTGAATAAAATTATCATTTAAATAAGAGTTGTTGCATGTGACGCGATTAGCAGGATGGGGTCAAAAAAATACCAAACGAAGAACTCACTTTAATATTTTCATAGCTCAAAAAGTACTAAAGCTAGAAAGTTGATTCTGGTTTCATTTTGTTATTTGAGATTTGCTCTAAATAACGGTAAAAGTTGAGAGATTGTCCCACGATGGCTGCCATCTTAACAACCAGATAATTCTGTCACTAATGTATCCCTAAATCGATCCCTATACTTAGATACTTCGATAAAACAAGGGAGACTACTACTTTTTTTGTATCGGAAATGGGCGTCGGCGCCGAAAAATCAGAGTTTTTAATTTTCCGATGTGTGTGTCTATTTATTATTAAATTAGTTCTTTGGACATATATTTGAGTTCCGTTTCCGGCCTTATAATTTGGAAGACATCTTGGCCTACATTTCCATCCAACTATTTTGCTTTTTTCAATCGAACTTCATTTTGAAAATCTTTGGTATATATAAGGCATCTTCGAATACAAAATTTTTTGTGAAATAAAAGGAACATGTCTTTCATATTAAATCGTGTAAGGCATCAGATATTGATATATATCTGTGCCAATTCTCATTGATGTAGGTCGTGTCCCACGTTCGCTACGCTTCTCCCAATGACCCATATCACCGTAAGGGGGCTCAGCCTTATTTTGACATGGCGTGGGCCACGCCCCCTTTTTAATGGCGGAAGTTGCCGATACTTAAGAAATATTTAATTATTACCACTATATACATCGAAATATTTGATAACTTGTGTTTCAGAATGCATTTTGAAGACATTTAAACTGGAATGTTTTAATTTGAGCTTTAAAAACCATGTAGAGTCCATATTATAAATGATCAGAAATTTCCGTGTGCAACACGTTGTCATTGGCAACCATTCACAGCCACTTGCATAATGGCTATATCGTAGTACTATCTCAGAGTTTCATTCATAAGTGTTTGCCGTGTGCAAAAACTATTAAACCATTGGTCAGGGAAAGCTTTAATTAATTATTCATGTGCCAAAGTTGAAAGTTTAAAATAAATCGACCCTAAACAGTATTTTAGTGATAAGGGAATGCCTTAGCCTTATATAAACTATATAGTCATTGCGCATGACGCGATCGGCGGAATGAGGTCACAGAATGTGGAGATGCAGTCCATGTTAAAAAAGGACAAACCAAGTCGTACTTTAAAAATTCATAACTTTAAAACTACAACAGCTAAAAATATAACTTTGGTGTCATAATGCTGTAAAAATTTAGCTCTATTGAACTATGCCATTGGTTTATTTTTACAAAATGTTTAAATTTTTGACCAAAGTATCTACTATACTTAACCTGAACCCTAAATCGATCCCTATGCCTAACCTGAACCCTAATTCGATCCCTTAACCTAATCTAAACCCTAATTCACTGCAACTATAATAAACACGCAAATGACTTCATGGGGTGATCTCTCAACATTAGCCCACTACTGTTCTGAACACTGTAGGGAGCATCAATATATATTTTATATACCTATCCCAAATTTAGAGTGCATAGTTAAGTAATAAGTCTGATGTACTAAATAACTAAAACTAAGACATAATGAAAATAATTAAGTAATAATAGCCATCATTATTTAGTTAGGCCTAAATTTGATTTTCATCATTTTATCATTTCAGAATTTTCAATCAAATGTGCTGAGCAATGAATGGCATAAAAACAATGGTGACTTGCAATTATGACAAATCTCATTATTGAAATTTAAAATATGTGTGTGAGTTTATTGTGGATATTTAATGACTAATATCATTTTAATGTTAACTCTTAGATGTAAAAACCTTGCACAGTTTTCAAATGAAAAGCCTCCTTTCGGTTGTTCTACGCACGGCGCAGCCATCTTGATTGTAAACAAGTGAACCAGTTTTTACATTCAATAAATGCCAAATTTATATTTAGGCCTCTAAGTTGCTGGTTTAAACGTATTTTTTTTTATATCTTGAGATCAATGAAGAATAGAATAAGATAATGTTTTCCTCGTAAAATCTCAAATTAAAATACGAATTCTTAAATACGTTTCCGAAGTATATTTTGTGTATTTAGTAAAATAGTAAAATAAGTTAAAATCACCAAAATGTAATATTTTCGTTGGTTTCAAAACATTAGGACTAGTGGCTGTTTTCAACTTTAAGTTTTACATTTCTACACATCTAAATATATTACAATTTATTATGACTACCCTGAGGTGTAGATGCAAAATTGGTTTGAAAATTATTATTTGGGTATATTTATGTGACATTAAATTATTTTTTTCTAAAAAATTGAATGATGAAAGAACTATAAATCATTTTGTCAATTTCTCTTGATTTTTTTTTCTTTCTTTCTTTGTTGTTTATTTGCAGGGCTGTCAGACCTTGGGAAATTTCACAAGAACTTGGGAATTCATGACCTCCTTTGGATCGTGGGGAATAATTTAAAAAATCAAGCGAAACATTGGAAAGTTAGATATAGACTAGACTAGACGGTCTAGATAAACACACACAAATTATTATTTTTAAAAAAAAGATTATTACGTGACAATAGTCTAAATGTTCTTACAAAAATCAATGAACAAATATTTGCTCCACTAGTCCAAGTAGAGAATCTGGATAACGAATTTGGTTTTAGGCCTACACTTATAACACTTTAATATAACTGTTATAACTGATTATAAATAAGAAATCTTCTTAAATAATTATTTAAAAGGCAATAGGGGTAGAGGCTGCAATCAGGTTATCAAAAAAGGAAATGAGTAAAACAACGTTAATAATAATCACAGTTAATATTGTTTTAAAAAGTTAGAGATTAAAGTAAAGACATTTCAAATTTTTATGTTGAAGTTTGACAGGTTGCATTCATGTATTCGTAGTGTTGAATATTGACCAAATTGACTGTGACACCGTGCACAGCTCAAGACATTCTCAGCGATAAATAAACTCATCATAATTCTTTAAATGTCAGATATAGACAATTAATATGATAAAATTTGAGAAAAATGGAAAATCTAAAAGAAAAAAAAAAGACTCTTGTTATGTGTTCAACAATAAACACTACAATCAGATGAGTGAAGGGGTGGGTATGGATTCACCAAAACTGGCCCCAAAAAAAAAAGTTTTAAAAAGTAAAATGGTACGATCAAAGTTTTAAATTGGAATGGCTAATAGATCTTGAATATAAAGATTTTCTACACCAGGACAAAGACAATTAAGATTCTAGCTTTTGCAAATCGTCCACATTTTCAATGAAAAAGGCAAATAGGTCCTCACTGATGAAACATAAACACTCGGTGAAATGTAAAACATAAATTTAAAAGTGCATAGTCTTAACATAGAAATTAGCAAAGCAAAGTATGGGAAAACCTGGCGAAAAAAAAAAAAGAGAACGCAACTAAACAACGAAAGTGTCGGCGCGAAGCCTTCATCGGCAAACAACTGTTTCCCATACTTTTTTCCCGCTCATTTTAAATTGTTCTAACCTGATTGCATTCTCCCACTTATTACCATAGTCTTAACATAGCATAAATCAATTTATTAAAATAAAATGTAAAGAGCACATATTTTTTCATGTTTAAAACACAGAAGGTAAATAAATAGCAAATAGTGAGTTTATTGCTGAATATTTTCCGACCTTTTCTTGAAGTTTATTAAGAAGGGCTTTTTCTGATAGTAAACTAGCTTCAAAATGGTCAGTTAAACAACACCTAAAAGCAATGTTTTCGTAAAAATCCTTTATAAAATGTAACATCGAGCCATGGGGGGGGGGGGGCAGGGTTGCCAACTCAATAAAATAACAAAATGAACGCACAAAAACAATTTTTTACGGACAGATTTAACATAAAATGTTGACCTTATAAAGAACAGCCTAGCTTTCCAGGAAGCTCTTACAGTTTATTAATAGAGCGCGGGATGCCACTAAAACAATTTAAAAATGAAAATTTAAATCAAGAAAATAGATATCACAAACA